AAATAAATAAATCAGGAGTCTGTAACAGTCAACAACTGGATTTTTACGCAAAACATTGGTGTCAATAAATTCGTTCCTTTAGACATTACCATGCCTACATAAACAGATGGGAATTTGGATATACAAGCACAGAAGATAATAACAAATGAGGAAGGTTTGAAGCGTCGACGAGTAAGCCAGTTTCTCCAAAAGTGAAACCTAAACTACAGGCTGTGTGTTTGTCTCAGCAGCTGTGAGAGAAAAACTGTTCAAGCAGAAAAGTTATAATTGTACACACAGATGAGTCCAAATGACTCATAATGTTGATGTGTAAATACCGGTGGTAGAAATAAGCAACTTTTTGACATCAGCTTTACCACATAAACCTAAAAGATGATAATGTGCGACTTTTTTTATATGCATAACAGTGGAACCCCGGCTTAGGAAGACCCCATTTAACAAAAAATTCAAGTTACGAAGGCACTTAACAACAATATTTCTGCCCGTGGTACAGCAAAATGCCCGCGTAACGAAATAGATAAAATAGAAAATTTTAAAAAATTAAATTAAATTCCATAATGTTATGTACATGTACACGTATGTATGCATGCATACGTATGCTTTCTTCAACCTCCGCCACCTCCTCCTCCACCAAGAACTTCGTCTTCAGCCAGCATCGCCTCACTCAAAAGGCGATGGAAAAAGGTGCTTTGACTTAGGAAAATTTTGACTTACGAAAGACCCTCTGGAACTAATTAATTTCATAAGTCGGGGTTCCACTGTATTTTGTTTTCAAAGCCAAATGTTTCAAGATTTTATGATTGTAGCATTCAGTAATTGATTAAATGCTATTTAAATTAAGTGATAATTTTGGCTCCTAAGGCTGATTGGAGGGGCGGGGACAAAAGTGATTAAATGGTTAGCCATGTTGCACTTATTTCCTATTCATCATGTCTCCAAATTCTTGTTTTTGTTTAGCTTGAGCCAAGATGCCGAAAGAACCTTTAAAACCCAAGATTTTATCTAAACGCATCTATGCTGATATTTTGAGCTTCCAACTATGCATTTAGCCCACATTTTACAAGCAACCTCACTCTGGAAATGTTTTTGTAAGGTCAAAAACATCCCCTACTGTGGTCCCTACACTATGATTAATAAGACAGCCACTGTGACATCACGATGACATCAGTTAACCACAGTGTTAACATTTTGGTCACTGAGATGTACGTGTGTGTTTTGGAGTAATAAATGACCGTATTTAGACAAGAGGGTGAAGTGTCAGTTACTAGCCAAGTCTGCAAAGAAGCAGACGCCTGCCATTTAGTTTAAAGTTCAATGAATATTAATCCAGTTTTATTTCAAACTTTGTGTTTTGCAGCTGCTGAAATTTAAAGGTGGCAGATTGGAGCGAGGGGCTGCACAACCAGGGGGTCAAGCTAACCGCAGCCTGCCTAAGCATGATCAGACCAACCATAATGTGAACACCAGGAGCCACAAGCCCAAGCAGAGCCAAACACCTGGTGTGGCTCACCCCACAAAGAAGAAAGATAACAGCACACCTAATAAACCCACCTCCGTCCATCAGGCTCAAGAGCAGAAAAAGCCCCTCCACCCCTCCAACAACGTAAAGATTGTGAATGCACTGCCTGCTGAAGCTGCACCTGAATACCTCAAAGATGGTGAGAAGGTCTATGCTGGAGCTAAGTTCAGTGAGCCACCCTCACCCAGTGTCTTACCGAAACCGCCCAGCCACTGGGTCGAAGAAGATGAGCCTATTAAGAGCAACCAAAGCCGGGAGCAAATGACTGTTCATTTGAAGTCACTGTTGAAGGTTCAGGATGCATCATGACCACAATTTGGAGTTTCAAATCAGAGCTGACCTATAGTGTCTGCTCTGCGATTAACCTTTAATACCCACAATTGGAAAATTAAAATGGAAAGTTAAATGTAGTTTGGCCCTTTTAACACACTGCAATACAATGTAGGGAGTTTTATTCACTGTAGTACAATTTCCCGTTAGCCAACATGCTGCCTGCATTTGTGAACATTTTGTGCACGTTGTGTTGTTGCTGGAAATCTGACTGACATGCTGTGTATGTCAGATGTTTATCAGATACTTCCTGACTTCTGGTAAGCTGATAAATGACTGAAAGGTTTTTTGTCACTCAGTTAGTGAGATTGTGCAAAAGTGATCTGAAGTCGCCTCCAGCAGCAAAACAATCAGTGTCTGATGTTTACGTCATGCAAAGTGATGACGGCACTTTCTTTGTGAACACTTTGGAAATGGCAGCCATGTGTTTGACTTTTTAAAGCACTTGTGTAAATGTACATAATCTATTGTAAACACACATTTGTGTATATTTTCTTGTTATTTTAACTGAGATTCTAGTTTTGTTACTGAGGTTTTTCCAGAAAAGAGAAAAAAATAGTCCCCCTGCGAACTGAGGCACTTTGTTACAGCTTCATCAGCATGAGGCACAGTGGATGTAAGAGACTGTTTTCAGTGTAAATCAGTTAGAGCAATCAGGAAGGGCAGGACACCTTGTTTTGATGTTCCAAAGCTTGACCAGCCACTTTGATGAATTCACCAGCCAGCTTAGAGCACAGGAGAGGACTTCCACGTTCTGGCAGTGTACCTTTCAAAAGGCTTGGAAAGTGGACTAATCAAAAATGGGGGGGGGGGGAGAAAAGGCATGACCTTAAGTTACAGCTGCTAGCTGAAGTTCTTTCCCTTCCCTCAACACGGGTCCAGCTGGTGGAGAGTCGAGAGTCAAATCAGGGACTGTGATGCTGACGGGGCTGTTGAAGCCTCAGTGAAAGCAAGATAATGACGACGATGTGAAAAGTCGCACAAACCAGCTGCTGCAGAAAGCCAGTATCCTGCATCCACACCAAGTGCTTTTTCTTTTCTTTTTTTAAATTTATTGCACTGATATAAAAAGTGTGTACACTTTAAGTTTGCTTTTTCTTTGTGTCCACCAAGCACTTAGCCTTTTTTCTTTTTTGTTCTTCTTAGTTTTTATTTTTGTCCCCACACCAGAAAACTGTTTACAAAACAGTATCTGAAGTACATCTACACATTAATGTTTCAGGGACTTCATGGCAGTAAAATTAAAATAACAATTTTCAGTTTTTGTTGTTTTTTTTGTTGTTTTTTTTGACAATCAGTGATGTAAAATTTTGTTATAATGAATCAGTAACTCAGCTGTCCTCATTTTTATATGAAATGCCAGGATTAGAGTGAGTTGATTAAATAATTTGTTTTGAAGTCACTATATTGAAAAAAAAAAAATCCCCAAGCATTTGTTGTTTCTACCTCCTGAAATCTTCTAAAGACATTTTATTGTTTCGCTTTTGAATTTGGAAAATTGTAAATTGGATGTTGAGCTACTATCAGACATTTTATCCATGGATGAATTGTTCATTCCTGCTGCCTCAGACACTGGGAATGATTGATTTGTGCTATTATGTGGTAATAGAGGCAGGTAAACATGCAGTAAGTGAGGATGTCTAAATGAGGAGAGAACGGAGTCACAGCAATGTTTGTGTGCTATGTGTTATTTGCTGAATAGAAAAAAAAGAACAAAGTAAGTTGAAAAGAGATTAATTTTTAAAGTTTAGCTTTTTCAGTGAAAGCAAGGACATAAAGGAGAAATCGCTGTTGTACACACACATCACAATGTTTCCACACTTTAACTTTTTACAGATGTTTAAGGCTCACTTGGACAAAATCAAGTTTTTTTTTTCTTTATTTTTGTATGACTTCTTTTTTTCCTAAAGGGGACTTGATTTTCACTCACATGCTCATGCCATGTACCTCTTACCTGTATTTGTGTTTCTTACACACATGATTGTTTACCAGGAGTGAAGTATGTGTTAAAGTTAATCATCTTATGATTATGTACCATAAGTTTTTTTTTTTTTCTCTCACTTTTTTAACTTACTTAATTTTCATGGATGCAGGCAGTTGCTGGATCTTTTTCTTTGACCTCTGTGACGTCGCTTGAATGGAAAATTGTATTAATGTAGCAAGAAAAACTGCCCATTTCATTGCAGTGTTTTAAAATCATTTCATTCCATTTATAAGAATAAGCATAAAAATTTGTCCATGCCACAATTTGAGAATAAAAGGTGTTTATTTTATAAAGTCTTTCATATCAAAAATTTAAAATGCAATTAAAAAATTGGTAACCCCTACTATATTGTTTGAGTATTCATTACAGGTGGAGTTATTTTTGTGAAAATGGGACATAAGGGAAATTGCAAGACTATTGTGGCAACTTTTACCAGAATAAGGAACTATCACATCATCATGGCATCATTACTCATTTAACTATAAATATTTTATCATATTCACACACACACATTAGTTTTAGTCACTGTGTGTGGTTTTTGGAGTAATAAACAACCATATTTTGAGACAAGATACAAAATCTCAAATTTTGCCCATTTTACAATGTAACAAATCCTTCCAAATATCCCTGCATCCAGACTCATTTAAGAAGTTAACAATTTTTAAAGTAGGCCACATCCTACCCCTAGTAAACTCTTTATAAATCCTCAGTCCCGTGACTGCAGGTGACTAATATTAATATCAATAGTAATATTAAATCTGATGCATCTCACAGGGATTTAAATGCATTCATCCTGCTGATGTGATTCAAACTTGATCAGACAGCTGAACCTTACTAGTTATTTTGAACAAATGTCTATTCTTGTGAAAGAAAAAAAAAACCTCCTAAAATAATTAAGCAGAGCTTGTGTTATCATTGCATGGCATTGTGATTTTACTTGGCCTAGACATTTGCAAATACTTTCGAAATATGAAAACTGAATTCATATAAGTTTTAATGTTTTATTAACTCAAATAATTAATAAATGCAATGTTTTATATGTATATTTATTTATCTGTCTAAAGAGTTTAGCAAAAAAAGAAAGAAAGAAAGAAAAACGCCAGTGAGCAGTATTACTGTTCATTGGGACCAAAAGTGATACTGTTCTGTTATCACTAAAAGTTGTGAAATGTTGTATCACTAAAATATCATTCTGAGTCAGTTTATTATTCATTATGTGTTTGCAGCACCCTCTGTGGTTGCTCCAAGTAATGCACTTTAGAAACGGCTTTATTTTGAAAAACTTTATTGAACAGGAAGTCGGCTCAGTCAAGAAAAGCGAGTAAGCAAAAAGAAGGGAAACATTTCGGCACTAGTGATGTGCAATACCACTGATTTCCTTTCCGATCTGATACCAAGTAATATTCAGGGTGGTATCGACGATACTGATCCGATACCGATACTTTGTACAAAAACTTATTTTATTTATTGTATGAAATTATAGCATCATAATGATTACAGGACATCAGATTACTTGTTCTTATCACTTAATAATGCTGAGTTCATCATATAGAAATAAAAAAACTGAAGTTGTGCGCTACTTGAACACCTTGCCTGCCTGCAGCACTAAAGGACTCTGTGAGAGACGTCTGTCTCGCCCTAGCAGCACCTGTCCCTGTCCTCCTCTTCAGTTCACCTCAACATACGCTCCTCATATTCTGTGATATGATTTACTCTGAGGTGTTTGACAAGGTTAGTGGTGTTGCCACAACCATACATGCCAACCCTCCCGATTTTTCCAGGAGAATCCCTAATTTCAGTGCCCCTGTTGTGCCAAAAAGTGATTGTCTACCAAAAACTGATTTCCGGTATTTGCCAAAAACTGATTGCTCGTATTTAAACTGCTATAAGTAACTTGTTGGGCTATAATATGTGAAACATATGTCAAATGCATCCCTCATGGATGACATAAAGTCATCTTGAGCCACAAACAACATTCGTGTAACAAGGTAGAAGCCGCAACCAGTTTTTGGCAGTGACTTTTATATAACCTTTATTTATGCAGTTAAAAAATCTCATTAACATTAAAAATGTCTTTTGTAAGAGTAAGTTGGCCAAGAGGACAGCAGACATGGCAGCAAATATTACAATAGTTCAGTAAAAATATTTTAAGTGGGGATAAAGGACCGGATT